GATATTTTGGAGAAATAATGTAGTCTTCTAAATCTCTGAGTCACAAACGTGCATTTGTAATGTTTGGGAACAACCAAGCCCGAAGATTTAAATTTGAGTGGCCTTTTTCTTCATGGAGTAAATCGACATAAGGACCAAATCTTAACCCACTTATGAAAATATACCCCGTTTCACCAAAATTCAACTGCACCCCCTATATCTCAAATTGAAACCTCCTCGCTTCAAACATTTCCTAAGACCATACTTCATGCCACATCATCAAATGCACGAGTAAGGGGTCACCATTAGAGACATGCATTCCTAAAATCTTCTCAGATGGTGAAGCTTCAAATAATGCTCGTTCCGACTTAGTTAGCTGCGGAAAATAGTCTTTAATGATGGTACTGACGACGTCTTTTAAAGTTAAATCGGTTTTTTGTTCGAGATCACTGTGCTACAAAACATATATATTTATAAAAGGTTAGTAATTACATATAAATTTAAAAACTGAAATGTAAGTTGCTATATTAAAAGTACCTACTAAAATTGATTAAGGAAATAAATAGCAATGTACTTTCAAATTACCGTAAAAAACACCCAATTATACTATTGTTATCAAGATATGAAGTAATTTTGAATCCTATACTTCGGTAGAATCTCAGAATAATCTTTTATTTGCATAAAAGGTAAAAACTCAAAAATACATTGCTATAATATGGCAGAGTAAATAAAAAGGTCTTTTCGTTAAGCTCTAGGTCAATCCGTGAAGCAGTCTCTGAGGAATGAGAACTACGCTCCGCATAATGGATCATGCCTAAATTTGTCAAATTTCTGATTTTTTCCACCTAATTCATTTCCACCAAGATATTATGCATTTTCCTTCTAAATTAAACTTTACAACTAAACAAGCTGAAAACGAAATACAAAATTAAACCATACCCGAAAGCCATTTCCATCGTCAAAAACGAAACTGACATTCGGATGCATCTCATCGTCATTTGGATCAAACTCGTCGGCATACAGATCCATCTACTTTCGTTGGGAGGATTATTGTAGAGATCGACGATCTTGATGTGGAGGTCGGCTGGCAGAAACGAAGAAAAACGAGGATCGATGAGGGTAATACGAACCTCCAAGTCCTCATTGACCAGATAACGACGGTTCCACTGAGCCCATCTACAGACCTCGTTAAGTGTCACGGGGACTTACAAATTTACAAAAATACCTCTCCTTATTTACCAAAAATGTCATTTCTCTTTCATATATACTTTTCCGCGGAGCCCGTAGAGGTGCCCTCCGCAGAATGCGTGTCTATATACAGAAATTGTTTTTTTGTGTCTAAAATTTGAAATCCTCCCTCCCCCCCCCCCCCCCCCCCAACCAAAAAAATGCCTATAGTTGGCAAAATCCTAGTAAAAAAAGTAAAAAACACTCGATGTTAGTTAGTCGGTGAATTGTGGTTAAGAGATTAATCGGTTAAACGGAAATTGATCAGGGGATCAATCGGGGACCATAAATTGTTAATTCGTTGAATTTAAATATATATATATATATATATATATATATATATATATATATATATATATAACTAATATCATAAAAAAGTTCATAAATACGACTAATGTCTTAACAAAATACGTTAATATGATTAATACAACATTATTCATTCCTCAAATAGTTTCCATTGAGATAAAATTTCTTCAAAGTATTAAAATTTCATCAGTTGCTATTATTTCGCTCATTGTGTGGGCAGAGATTAATTGCCAGATGTCTTCTAATCAGTAAGGTAGTGCGTAGGGACTAATCTGAAATTAATCGGGACCTAGTTTGGATTTTACCACACTATTATTAAAAGTATATGTTAGTATAATTTTCTTTTTCTCAAGCACTTACCATGATCCAATTGTTTGGTATACATGGTCAATTGCTTGGTCTATTTCACATACATAAAACACAATGCAAGTTGGATTTCAATTCCATTACGTTGACCAAGCTTGTAGTTATTTCCGATGTTTTAAAAACCGGTTTTTTAGTTGAACCGGTATGGTGATCGGTTCCCGATTCAACCGGTTCGACCGTGGGGTGAACCGGTTTCTTTATTTTTCATGTTTTTTTTTCTATTTTCATACACATACATACATATAGAAATTATGAATTTGATGTTTACAAGTTCAAACATTAAATATACACAAAAAAAAATTATACATGAATCCAAATACATTAAAATAACACATAACCATAAGTTTTTGTGTTTTACATCAATCCATATCAAAAAGAAAATAAAGTATAATACCGAAACGAAATATAGTTTTTTATGAATACAAACACATCAAAAGAATTTATAACATTTATCATATGTTTTTATTTAAAAAAACTAAATAGATTTGAAAAAAATCACTAAAGTTTATTATGTAAATGGTTCTTTTTCATGTGTTTTTATTCGGTTTAACCGGTTCAACCGTTTTTTTTAAACCGACCGATTCAATCCGGTTTAGAAATCAATGTAAAACCAGTGATAATTGAACCGCTCACTCTCCCGATTCGCAGTCCAACCGGTTCAACCCGGTTTTTAAAACATTGGTTTTTTTAGAGAAGAAAACAAAGGTAAGACTTTGAATAAAATTTATTATGATTTCGATTATAGTTTAGATGTATATCGAGTCTTTAATGAAGAACGCTTAGACGTGTAGAAAACAGGTATCACAATTTAAAACAGGGAATAAGACTAATTAAGGTAATTAACTTTTCAGTTTGTTTACATGTAAGTAACTATCTTTTTTTTGTACACATCTAGGTAACAAACTTTTTGAAACTATTCACATATGACCATTATGATCTGCTGTAGCAGGTTACCTCCGGCTACAGTAGGTCATAATGATTACATGTGAACACTTTCAACAAGTTCGTTACCTAGATGTGTACAAAAGAAAAATAGTTACCCAAATATGAACAAAACCAAAAGTAAGAGTAAATTACACGAATGGTCCCTGTGGTTTGGGGGAATTTATGCATTTGGTCTCTAACTTATTTTTTAATTCGGATGGTCCTACTGTTTTGTTTTGTTGCTTTTGGTCCATGTCTTATCTAAAAAGACTAGTGTGTCCTTATTAATTTATTTTTTTTAAATTAATTTCCTTATTTATGTATTTTTTTTATATGTTTAAAAAAAACTAATAGACCTCACATATCTGTATCTCCTCACCATCCTATCCTTCATCATCCTAAACTTTTATTTCTTTTCCATATTTAATGACAATGAAGTCTTCACCATCTATTCTTTTTCGGTCCTTCAACTTCAGCGAACCAACACCACAACCCAATAGTGTGAAGAGACCGTAGGTTATGGTGTTTGTTCGCCAGAGTTGAAAGACCAAAAAAAAGGATGGTGAAGACTTCCATATCACTAAAGATTGAAAAAAAATAGAGGTTGAAGAGGATGTGAGATGGGATGTTCACCGGTAGGACCCAAATTAAATTTCTCATATGTGGTTTCAGATTTACAGTGAGGAGATACAGATATGTGGGCATAATAGTCTTTTTAGGTAAGATAGGGACTAAGCGCGCAATAAAAATAAAAGGTAGAGACCATCTGAGTTAAAAAGAATAAGTTAGGGACCAAATGCACAAATTCCCCTATACCATAGGGACCATTCATGTAATTTACTCTTACCTTTGGTTTTGTTCATATTTAGGTAACTATTTTTTTTTTGTACACATATAGGTAACGAACTTGATGAAACTGTTCACATATAACCATTATGACCTGCTGCAGTTGGATGTAACCTGCTACAGCAGGTCATAATGATCATATGTGAACAGTTCAAAAAGTTTGTTACCTAGATATGTACAAAAAAAAAATAGTTACCTATATGTGAAAAACCCGAAAAATTAATTACCTTAACAGGTCCTATTCCCTTTAAAACATCAAGAATTTAGAAAGATAATTGGCTATTTCCATACGTGACAACAAAAATGATCCTCGTGGTGGTTTGTTATACGGAAGTTCAATCAAGATTTCAAGAAGATATGACATACTATGTTAAAATACCATCAAAGTTTTTTTTTTTTTTGGACTTGTAGTAATTATGTTACGTGGAACATCCAAATTATGAAGTGTTCTTTCTACTAGGAAAATCTTTTGACCAACTTTGAAAGTTCAAGTTCAAGGCTTAATTGTTACAATTACATCACTCACTTTTTTTAAAGATGACTTACTTTTTTAAAGAAACCGACTATGGATTTTTCTACAAAGGTCTTTAAAGTTGTTACGTTTAATGACCCAATTTTTTTTTTTTTTTTTTTTTTTGCTAATAAGTTTTGTATTTTATTTAAATCTCATATGATTATATATATATATATATATATATATATATATATATATATATATATATATATATATATATATATATATATATAAGTTTATTGTATTAAAAAACTGCAACTTGAACATTTGATGATCATGATATTCATACCCTGGATATAATAATACCAATAAAGCAAAACAATAAAATATAAAAAAGAAAGTGAAGGATTAATTGAGCATGTCTAGAGAGTTGAGGCACACACACATGATTTGGCTTAATCAACGGCAATTCCCCATTGGTTTTGTTGTTTGGTTGACTTTTTCTTCAATGAGAAATAATGGAAAACATATTGTCTTTCATTTTCATGTATACACACAAACAGCTGGACCTTTGTTCCCTTCGTTTTCAGACCTATTAACTATTTTACTTCAAACAACTAGGTCCTGATGAAACTATTTTTTCATAATTGTTGGGTTTTTATGTTGTTTTCATTAATTATAAACATAAACTATTAATCAATAATAAAATTAATAATATTAACATAAAATTAAAAAACCCCTGCCATTTGGCTACGCGTATAACAAAAAGAGAAGCACCATAGAAGCAGCTTTTCAATCTCCCTCTATCACTCTTATATATACACATAACCTAACTTTATACACTCATTCCCATCTTATCGATCTCTTTCTTTATTTCTTTTTCATTAAAGATCAATATATGGATTCCATTCAATCTTTCAAGGGCTACGGGAAGGTCGATCCTGTAGAAGAACAAGCATTTCGCCGGAAAACCCGTAAGCGTCTCATCATCCTCATCGTCTCTGTAGTCCTGCTCATTGCTGTCATCATCGGAGCTGTTGCCGGCACCGTCATTCACAACCGCAACGACAATGGTAAAGATGAAAATGCTTCTTCTTCTCAGCTCTCCTCCGCCCAATCCATCAAGGCCGTTTGTAGCCAGACTCTGTATCCTGAATCTTGTTACTCTAGCATCTCGGAGCTCGATAAATCCAACACCACCGATCCCGAAGATCTACTCAAGCTCTCTTTACAGGTCGTTTTCAACTCTCTGTCTGGTTTGTCTTCCTTGCCGGAAAGTTTGATGAACGCAACCTCCGATGATACAGCGAAAGAGGCGTTGAAGGTGTGTAAGGTTGTGTTAGATGATGCCCTTGATTATCTCAGTGATTCTATCTCCTCCATGGACGTGAAATCCGGTGATAAATTGCTCAGCCTTAACAAAATCGACGACCTGAAAACGTGGCTGAGCACAACTCTCACTAACCAAGATACATGTTTGGATGCTCTGGAAGAAATGAATTCGACATTTCTTGTAGATGTCAAATCTAAGATGCAGAACTCCACCGAGTACGCCAGCAACAGTTTAGCTATTGTCTCTAAGATCTCGGGGATATTAGGGAAATTCAAGATTCCGATCCACAGGAAACTGCTGGCAGAGAGAGAATCTGAATTTCCGGAATGGGTGAGCCCTGTTGTCCGGAGGTTACTTCAAACGGGACGGCCGACTCCGAATGTAACGGTGGCGCTAGACGGGACCGGAGATGCTAAAACCATTAAAGAGGCCATGGGAAAGGTACCAAAGAAGAGCAAGACGATGTTCGTAATATACATCAAGGAAGGTGTGTATATGGAGAATGTCGTTTTGGATAAATCGTTCTGGAACGTCATGATCTACGGCGACGGCAAGGATAAGTCCATCGTTTCCGCCAGCCTGAACTTCGTCGACGGCACCCCAACTTTTTCCACGGCCACTTTCGGTAATTTTCTTAATTTTTTACTTCTCACGGAACAATAATTCATAAATTAATTAGCCAAGTATATATCAAAACACTCAAACAAAGACATCAAAATCAAGAAAAGACAATATCGTTTTCTAAGTTGTGAATTTATTAGATTTGATAATGAAAGCTACCCACCCACATGGGTTGTCGATGTTGTATTAGATGTCATGTGCCTACAACATCTGCAACTCAATCCATGTGCAAGTTCGTGACTTAAATAGTTTATAACCATCTAAATCATCCTTCGTGTCCTCAATCCGACGGCTTTAAGCATAAAGTTTTTGGATTTGATAAATATTGAAAACTAACATTATGTCAATGACTATCAGCTGTCGCCGGAAAAGGGTTTGTGGCAATAGACATGGGATTCAAGAACACAGCTGGAGCAGCGAAGCATCAAGCAGTGGCATTGAGGTCTGGTTCAGATTTCTCAGTGTTCTACAGATGCTCATTCGATGCGTTTCAAGACACTCTTTATTCCCATTCCAATCGTCAGTTCTATCGTGAGTGTGATGTCACCGGAACCATCGACTTCATCTTCGGAAACGCGGCGGTTGTCTACCAGAACTGCAAGATTATGCCACGCCAACCTTTACCAAACCAATTCGTCACAATCACAGCTCAGGGAAAGAAAGACCCTAATCAAAACACGGGAATTTCCATCCAAAAATGTGATATATCGGCGTTTGACAAGCTCACGGCGGCGACATACCTTGGAAGGCCATGGAAGGACTACTCAACCACCGTAATTATGCAATCCACCATTGGAAGCTTTCTGAACCCGGTTGGCTGGATTTCATGGGTCCAAGGTGTTGACCCACCTGCATCCATATTCTACGGCGAGTATCTCAACACTGGTCCCGGCGCTGGCACTGCCCAACGGGTCAATTGGACGGGATATAAGCCCAGTTTAACGAGCAGTGACGCCTCCAGATTCACAGTGGCTTCGTTCATCGAAGGTTCGATGTGGTTGCCACAAACAAATGTGGCGTTTGACTCAACATAATGATCATGAAAAATGAGGATCAATCACATAGACACGTTACACATACTCGTTCGTCTTGTTAATGGGTGTTTCCCGGTTTATTTTATTTTTTTACTACGATAGTTTGTAATACATCATCTTCTAACACGGTTACCATGTTTGTAATATTGTTTTTGTTGTTATACCTGCAATTATATGAGATGATTTTACTGAGATTAACCAAAAATCTATTAGTACAATTCACAACAACAAGAGTTCCTTCCTTTTGATTATCTTACCCAATCTGCAACCCAGATCACAATCATATAGCTAACATATGGATTCCAGACAGTTAGAAATTGGGGGACATTAAGGGTGTGTACGTAATTATCTTCAATTTCATGGATTGTTCAATTTTCTTACACAAAAGTTTGACCATATGATTTGTGCGGGTCTTGTAATAGGATAATCCAAACAACGACACTTCAAGCACAGACTGAGCACAAATATTTGAACTAGATTGGCTCATAAAGATATAAACAACTTTATTTTGGTTCAAATTTATAATATATCAAAAATCTAATAATTAACAAAGAACAAAATATAAAAAAGTAGCAAAAAAATTCTAACAACCAATTGCAAACTAAGTTAATCTAAAAAAAAATTAACCATTTTCATGTAGGGAAAAAGGACATACTTAGATAACTGTTTAATGGACTAGGAAATTGGCTAATGGGCTATAAAATTGGCATATAGGATAACTTTTTAATGGACTGAGAGATTGGCTAATAGGCTATGAAATTGTACCAACGAGCCCTAATAAGGCCCACTTATATAAAAATATTTTTATTTTATTTAGTAAGTTTTTTTCTCAATCTAAGTTTTTGTTTTGAAAATGTTCTTTGAAGATATTTATCATAATTTCTTTTTTCAAAATACTGTTTTTTTCTTCGACAAAAGTCATGATTTTCGTTAGTTAAATATAATTTCCTAGGTCAAACTTACAAAATTAATAATTTCGTAGGTTAAAGCTGCGAAATTATCGTTCATATGTATTATCATTGCATTTTTGCGGATCAACCTTTAGAAAACACATGTAATACCTGCAAAAAAAAAAAATTAAGTTTGGCATTTTGCATGTTAAACCTATGATAAAAATTAAAATGACGATGTTTAGGAATTTTGCATGTTCTATGGTAATTTCATTAAGATGAGATGTACAATTAGTAGTGGCTATTTTGGCAAACCTTGTTTATGCTTAAATTTAGGAAATCATGAGGATCGGAAAGTTCTCTTAATTGTATAAGTAATAGACTTAGATTATGTTTGGCGTATCACAATTAACTTATTTTTCAAGCCTTTTTAATTTGTCATGTTTAGCTAACCAAAAAACAACTTAAAATACTACCTTTTTAAAAAGCTATTTTGTAACATACATAGAATTTATGAAAATATTAAACTTTTAAACAGACCCAAAAACCATCATTGTTTACAAATTGTTTTCAAAATTAGTTCAATATCAGAGTAATCACAAAATCATAAAACAAAAAATGAGGAGGTGCACGAATCACAGCTTCGCCTTCCCGCGATCCTTTGAGGCATTTGAAACATAATCCAAAACTGTAAGCCTAAAGCTTAGTGAGTTCCCCCAAAATACCAATACATAACAAATAACACAAATATAATAACAACATGCAATGGGTCCACATCTAATAGACTATATTACCTCTGAGCCCACAACATAAGTCTAACTTGCTCCTGGGCCCACAACTTATGTTGGCTTGCTCCCCGGCCTGATCAGTCCTCAAACTGAATACCATTAAGCCCTCGGTACGAGTCTGGTATTCCCTTCCTGGCCCTCAGCTTGTATCTGGAATGCTAATGATCCCTCGGTATGAGTTTGGTATGCCCTTCCTGGCCCTCAGCTCATATATGGCTTGCTCCAGGGTTTGTTGGCTATAGCACGAAGCAGTACAGACTTAACCCAACTCACACAATATGTCGACATATAACAAATAATAGCATATTCAAATAAACAAATAGTATCACAGGTAGTCCTACATATCTACCAGACTAGCATAACAAGACTAGCATCCATATCAATTCCATACTCATCATATCAACAATATCAGGTTATCAAACCAAAGGGTCGGCCTTGGTGCCTTCGACTCGAAAGTATAGTGAGGAAAACTCACCTCACAAGCTGCACAGAACTGAAAAGGCCTGACTCCGAATCTCAACTCACAACTCAAATGCCTACACCCACCGTGTGACCAATTCCATCAAAACCCAATAATACCCTGAAAAGTCAAACATGGTCAAGCTTGGTCAAAATCCATAAACCCAATGAGTTAACCCAGTCGGGTCAACCCAACTGAGTCCACCCAATCGAGTTCACTTGTAAACGGCTGAACCATGCGAGTACGCGGGGAGTACTCCGGAGGTACGCGCAATGTACAGAAGCTTCACATTAACTGAAAAACGGGAATGTTGACTAAGCATGCATGGCTTACTCCCTTCTACGTGGGGTGTACCCTCTCAGAGTCCAAATCCTCAATAAGTGCTTAATGACTTAAGCACTTAAGCCCAAACTTCAGATCCATGGTCTAAATGCACCTTAGAGTCATAATGTCTCCAAATTTATGACTTTGGACGTCCAAAATATCCTTAATACATGGTCGTAATCCATTAAGACCTTCCATTAGAAGCATGATGCCAAAATAGCTAAAGGGACCTCATTTTTATAGCTTAGAACCCCTCATAAGATCTAAAAGGACAACCCAAAACGTCCAACACCAAACATGCACAACAATGTGACTTTTTGGGACAAAAGAACATCATAAAGCTACCAAGATGAGATCTAAGCAAACGAAACATAAAGGTAGCAACTTTTACCTTCTGGAGCTCCCCAAGAAGATGATGATCCAAGATCCACAAGCTTTCTTTCCCTTCTTGACTCCTTGATGCACTACCTTCTCCTTTAAGCACACAAATAACACACTTTAAGCTCAAAACACTCTCTTATAAGGTTAGGGTTTGCTAAGATTGACTCAAGGGCTTGGAGGCTGAAAGGGTGAGGCTAAATGATCCATAAAGGTGTTTAAATACTCCTCAAACCCTAAAACTTAGGGTTTAAGATGAACACTAGTACGTCCAAAGTACATAAGTGTATGCCTAGCTTACAACTTTTGTTCCCAAATTTACCATTTTGCTACTAAGGATTCTTAGGGCTACATCTTTATAAACCAAGGAGCAAAATGACATACTTTAAAACCAAAGGAAGGATTTTAGAATACCTGAAAACTCGGGATGTTACAACTCTCCCCCAATTGAACTAGACTTCATGCCCGAAGGTTGCTGAAGCAAACAAATCTGGGTAGTGCTCTCACATCTCAGCCTCCGGCTCCCAAGTCCACTCGGAGCCCTTCCGATGCTGCCATCATACCTTTACCAAAGGTACTTCTTTGCTTCACAAAAACATTACAATCCTCTCCAGAATAGCTACTGGTCTCTCAACATAGTTCATGCGCTCATCAACCATAATATCATCCAATGAAACAACTGCATCCTCATCCAATACGCACTTTCGCAACTATGAAACATGGAAAGTGCTATGGATATGATTGAGCTCCTCAGAAAGATCCAATCTGTAAGAGACCTTGCCAATCCTGGAAATAATTTGTAATGGCTCAATATATCGAAACCCAATTTCCCCCTCTTCCTGAGGCGAATCACACCTTTCCAAGGTGATACCTTCAATAGCACCATGTCACCGACCTGAAACTCCAACTCGGATCAGCGCCGGTCAGTATAACTCTTCTACCAACTATGAGTAGTCTGCAATCTATGCCTGATCTATTAAATCATCTCCATAGTGTGAAGGGCCACCTTGGTTTGTCCCATAACCCTATGACCGACCTCGCCACAACAAACCAGGGTACGATATCTCTGCCCATACAATAGCTCAAAAGGCGGAGCACCAATACTAGAGTGAAAACTGTTATTACAGGAGAACTCTGCAAGAGGTACGTAGGAGTCCCATCTCCCACCAAAATCAATGACACAGGCCAGTAACATATCCTCAAGGGTCTGTATTGCCTGCTCACTCTGGTCGTCAGTTTGCGGATGATAAGTTGTGCTGAAGTGCAACTTCGTGCCCAGTTCCTCATGGAAATTCTGCCAAAAACAGGAGGTGAACCGAACATCACGGCCTGAAACAATGGAGGCTGGAACCCCATGGTGAGCAACGATCTCGTGAATATACACATCGACCAACTTCTCTGTTGCGTTTTGGTATAATACAACATCCTATGGTGCACATACAACCCTAAATACCTTGGATCTATGTTTTCACTAATTATACATGCAAATGGTTTCCAAGGCATTAAACCTATAACTAGCATGCATTTGACATAAACCATATAATATACTAGTTAGGGAAACATACCTTTTTTGTGGCTTGAAGTCTTGATGTATTTGGCCTTAAGAGCTTAGCACCAATAGTATGAAATGCCTCAAATGGAATCACAAAACACCTAGGACAAAGGTGGCTCTTGAGAGAGAATTCTGTAACGACCCAATTTTCACGTCCAAAAATTTCGTTTTTAAAACATTACTTTAGAAAACGTTAATAATTAAAAACATTGTTTGATCAAACCATATCACAACGTAAACCATGTCTAAAAGCCAAATCATACAACCAATCGAAATATCAGAGTATAAATCCCAGAGAAATCTAATAGATGCGGAAACCAGTATGTGTGCATGATGTGCCGCTACCGTGCCAGCTCCTTCCCCTTTGATGAAGAGGTACCTGAAACCAAAACTGTAAACTGTAAGCACAAAGCTTAGTAAGTTCCCCCATCGTACCACATACCATACAAACTCATAACATAAATACTACCAGGCTATTCTGGGGTGCCTGACTACCCGGTACGACCATTCTAGGGTGCCGACTACCCGTGCGGTCATTCTGGGGTGCCGTCCTACCCGTGTCAAGCCATTATGGGGCGCTGACCTACCCATGTCGAGCTATTCTGGGGTGTTGACTACCCTTCGGTCCTAACAACCGAATCTCGGGGACTATTTCACCCCCTACTACTACTATCACATGTAACATAACACAAACATAATATCAAACATATCTGGGGTGTCTGACTACCCTTCGGTCCTAACAACCGAACTCTACTACTATCAGATACAACATATCATGCTAGCA